GCCCACCACACGCCCTGGCCCCAGGCCGCTCTCCGCTCCCTCGTGCCCTCGTGCGAGGGACCCAGCAGGCGCAGCCCCGGCGGGCCGTCAGCACAGGAGCAGAAAGCGCCGCGTCCAGCCGCCCCGCCGGGGCCACTCACTTGCGGTTGGCCTCCTTCCTCTCGATCAGGCAGCTGCCCTCCAAGGAGAGGCCGGCAAACAGCCCCCTGGACTTGCAGTAGGTGAAGACGGCCGCGGAGCTCCTCAGGGCCACGTCCGCCTCCAGGTTCCTGCGCAGCAGCGGGGTCTGGTCAGAGGTGGGTGGCCGCGGGGGCCCCAGCCCACGCTGCGCTGCTGGGCAGCGAGGGTGCCCTGAGGGCCGCCACCCTCCCCCGCCCCTCGCCGGCCCCTCCCGGCCCCGCCCCTGCCCACCCCGTGGCCACTCGGGCTTTTCACCCTGAGGCTCTTCACGAGCCCACAGAGGCGTTAGACGACCCGCGGCTGTAGCTTCCGCAAACGCCCAGGCTGAGAACACCCGAACTTGCTCAGTGGGCTGTGGCCAGCGGGGAGGGCGGCCAGCGGGGGCCGGCCCAAGAGGACGCTGCCACTTGCTTGTCCACATTCCGCTAAGAGGCCCCTCGGCCGACTCGCCCTTCACGCCCCGGAGGTTGACCGGCCTGCCTGTCCTGGACGCCCACCGTCAGTCCCACCCGCGGCCTTCGGCTTTGTCACGCCGCCGTGGCCGCGTTTTCCCGCCGCCGTGGCCTTTGCGTTCGGCCCCTCGGGCACAGCGGCACGCCCGGCTCACCTGCCCACCGGCCCCACGGCCACCGTGAAGCTGCCCCCGAGGGTCAGGTTTCCGCCGCGCGCGAAGGCCTCCACGGCTCTGTCGTAGTTGAGAATCACCACCAGGTCCGACACCTGCTGGCGAGAGAGGCGCTGGCAGCGGGCGCCAGGCCGGCCCCTGGGCCCCAAGACCAGCACTGCCGGGAGGCCGCAGGCCAGGGGGCCGGCCCGCCGGGGGCCCGCCTCCCTCTCGGCCGGACAGCACCGGGGGCCCGCAGCCGGCCTGCGGGGTGCAGACGGGGGTGGCGGCGGCCCGGCTGTCGTCGCGACACTGAGATCGCCTGCAGGCCTGAGTCGTGGGCTCCCCCAGGGTAGGACGAGGCCGGGGCTGGGGGGCTCCGGCTCAGGCTGCCCTCGGCCTGCCTGCGTGCCGGCGGGAGGTACCCCCGTGGCCAAGAGGGGCCCCGGAGGTGCCAGCCGCGGGCCATCCCGACGGTGGCTGCACTGGGGTCCCCTGGGGCACCACGAGGCCGCAAGCCCCCACCGGTGCCCGGAGCTCTCCTCGCCCCTCTGCGTGGGGCTGGGGTCCCCCCGCGGCGGAGTCCTCAGCGCGTCTCACGCCGGACACTGACGGGCGATGGCCAAGGCTGGCGCCGCCCGCCCCGCCCCTGACTGCGGTGAGGTGAGGTGAAGCTGCGGGTCTATCGGTTTCCTGCCCGCCCTGATTCCTCGGCCCCCGGGAAGATTAGGGTAATCCCTGTGCTTCCGAGGCGCATCAGCGAGATAAAGAACCAGGTCAAGCCCAGGAGCACGGCCCGCCCGGCTGGGCGTCCAGGGACAGAGCCTGCCACTAGGCGCTGGACCCGACAGCCCGGCCGAGGGGGACGCGGGGGCTTGACCGTGAAGCCAGCGGACGCGAGAGGCAGAGAGCCCCAGCCACGGCCGCCGCGAGGGCTCCCCCAGCCCCGCCCCGCCCCGCGCCCCATGCCACACCCCTGCGCCGCTGCCCAGGCCCTGCCCTGCACCACCCACGCTCCTTCCCTGCCTCCCCTGCGCCCCTGTCTTAGGTGGGGAGCGGGAGCGCCCAGCAGTCCCCCCAATCCCGGGCTCAGCCTCCCAGGGGAGCCCGCCCGTGGGGCTACCCTGCGCGGCTCCCCGCTAACCCAGAGTTAACACCCCGATATTCCAGGATAATAGCAAAGAAATTTGAGAAACACACAGCCCCTTTCCAGGGCTCACATCACCAGACGAGGCCCACGGCAAAGCCGGCGTCGCCCCAAAGGGATCAGCTCACGGGGGAGACACTGAGGAACGCAGCGGCCGTGGCAGGACGGGGAGGGGTCCCCGGCGCTAGGAGGGTGCGGGCCCCAGCAGCTGCTGTTTCGCCGACTGACTCGCTCAGACGGCGCCGCTTGCTCATGCACCCACTGTTGGGGGGCCGAGCCCCCTTCCTGGGGAGGGCCCCGTCTGCACCTGCAGCCGTGGGAGGGGCTGGGCAGGCGGCTCCCAGATGGCTCCTCCTGTGGGCACCCGCTCAGACCCTGCTGGGCTTGGGGGCTCTGCAGGCCCGGGGGCTGGTGGGCCCCGCCAGAGAGCCGCGCAGCCTGGCCCGCGCCCTGCCAGAGGGCACCCCTCGTCCCTGGGGCACCCTCCCCAGAGCGCGGCCTTTCTGCAGGCGCTGATTCGTGAAATAAAACACAAAGGCAGCGAGCCGCCCCTGGCGCGGTCCTCGGTCCTGGACACGGCCGGCCCCGAGGTGCGGGCGGGGAGGGGCTCCGGCGTCCAGCAGGCGGGACCTTGAGAAGTGGCCTGGGACCATCACCCGACTTGCTGACCACTCGGCAGGAAGGCGCCGGAGGAGAGATGGCATGGGCCTGTCAGGGCCAGGCCTGCTGGCCACCTCGAGGGCGCGCGGGCACAGAGCGGGAGCCGCCTGCGGGCCGCGTCCTGGCGGCGCCGGCCCTCGGGCCACCCAGATGCCGCCCTGCAGGCGCTGGGGCGAAGGGTCTCCTCTGGGAGGGCGAGGGTCGCCCTGGGGAGACACAGGGGCCGCCGGGGCCACTCACCTCGATGCCGAGCTCGAATCCCCCGCCGAGGCCTGCGATCCCGATGGCTGAGGGCGCTGACCACCCTGGCAAAGAAAG